GTAATTAAGAACAATAGGAAAACAGAAGATATATTCTCAAGCCATGATCTCTTCCTCTGTAATTGGAGCATTTGGGTTAAACAAAAATTGCTGAGAGTATTCTGACAGTCCAAAGCTGTGGGTGAATTCAAGGAGAAAAAGAATGTCCAAGAAGATACTGAGAAATTTAGCAAAAGGTGTAAACAGGTTTTGAAATCATCACTCCAAGGAGCAGAAATGGGAGGAGAAAATGCCAGAAAGAATTTCACATAAAACAATTCTTTCTTCAAGAACACTCTGTGAAAATTTTTATATTCTCATTATCTCTCTAAAGTTGAGTTCTGTAACAAAACTTTTGAATGCAGCACTTTGCGGCATATTAGGGATACTTTTGCTGTATTCTATTTCAAATCTCTCTCAGAAAGATTTTCATTTCATTTGCAGCCACTGCCTTCCCATTTCTCTGGTCATTTGAACTCCTTTGCCATAAAAACGTGATGTGGTCTCAGTCAGTCGACCCGGAGTTTGACTCCTTTTTATACTTTCCATTCCTTCCTGCAGCCGTGTGTACAGTCCTACCTTTTTGCCTTGTATTTTCATAGTGGTAATTATTGCAGTCCACTGTGTTCCCAGTGAGATTTTCACAGACCTTTAGATGCTTTTCAAACACTGCCTCATGTTTCTACACCTTTTTACTGAGTAACAATTCAATGTGATGACCTCAGTCATGTTTTATTTGACCTATAGGAATAAGTGTTGTTTATCTTTTTCCAGATGGTATGGAAAGTATAGCCAAAAGAAGTAAAATAGAAACTTTGGGGTGCCCAGAACATTTTATTTGAGCTAGTTCTGTTTTTCAAGAAGACTTAGTTTACTCCCCATCCTGAGTAGCTGAGCCAGATGTGCTAAAATACCTCAGCCTGCATCAGGTCACTCTCACTCAGGGAGCTGGGATGACCAGAGGCCGTCCTCTAGGTGATGGGATGCAGTGGCTGCTGTTACCTTGAGCAGCTGGATGTGGTAAGCATTGAATGTAGCTTCTCTTTGGTGGGTTTGTGGAAAATATCAGTGAAAGCAGAGGTGCTTTTTCATGAAGGGAATACTTTGATAATTATTCAATTCCCATCAGCAATATTTAGAAATCTGACTTCTCAGACTGTAGGAAGTTTTCCTCTCCTCTCTATTGCTTTTACCACTGTTTCTTCTCCAGGATTGTCATGTTGTAGATGAGGCAACCCTTGAGGAAGACGAGAGCCAAGACTACCAACTGCTGTCACTGACAGAGGATGAGACCTTCACCACTATGCTGTTCAAACGCCACCTCCGGACATGTGACCCAAATGACCTGGATATCACAGTAAGAAAGGGAACTGATCAAGCAAGATCCCAAAAACCTCTGCTACTGTATTCCCATATCCTCCAGATCAGATGTGATAATGACAAGTTTTTCTCATAACAGTACAATACCAGAAATCTATAGAAAAATACAGGAACATATTGCCACATTTACAATCTCAGGAGCATTATATTGATATTTTCTTACAATATCTTCCACTGAAGAATTGGGAAGATATAAATCTCAAAATTTTCTGCAGCTTGAATGCAACTCTTCAAAATTATGCTTGTTTCTCTGCCTATCACTTGTTTGCCACATATAAAGAGACAGTCTGGTATTGGAGATGACATTTTTCATTTGCGTAAAGTCAGTACTTTGGTGAGAATTGTGTTTGGGAAATTCAGAATGATTTGAGAATTTTGATCCTTCTCTCTTGGAAGAGCTAAGTGTTGATCCTAAATGGCATTAAAAGCTTGGCCAACCCAAAATGTTTTTTTAAGACAGTGACTTTTCAAATACGAGGAAAAAATTGCTTTGTCAGAGTGTTCAAACACACTGAACACAGCTCTGTGTGTTTAGATACTGTTTACACTGTTTCACCTTTATTTCAGTGATTTCTCTGTATATCAGCAATATCTGAGGCTTAGCCCTCTCAGAAATCTTCTCTCGTAGAAGGCTATCAGGTTGGTTAAGCATGATTTCCCCTTCATAAATCCATGCTGATTACTCTCAATTGCCTTCTTGTTCTTCATGTGTCTGGAAATGGTTTCCAGGATTAGTTGCTCCACTACCTTCCCTGGGGCAGAGGTAAGGCTGATTTGCCTGTAGATCATCAGAGCCTCCTTCTTGCCCTTGCTGATGATAGTGGTGACATTTCCTATCTTCCAGTCATCAGAAACCTCTCCCGATCACCATGACCTTTCAAGGATTATTGAGAGTGGCCTTGCAATGACATTCGCCAGCTCCCTCAGCACTCGTGGGTGAATCCCATCAGGGCCTATGGACTTGTGTATGTCCAGCTTGTTTGAGTGTTCCCTAACCTGACCTTCCTCCACTGAGGGTGGCCTGGAATTTCTGAAGGCCAGTCTTACCTCTATCAAAACACTTAAACACAAAGTGCTACCGGTTCAGAACCCTTACAGTTTTTTCCTAGCTTTCTTCCATTTCACATACCACCATTTAAATATCCTGCATGTGTGTAAATGCATGCTCTAAGTAAGTATATGAAACAACAGTGGGTAAAGCTTTGCTAGAGTCTTTTCCCATCAGCACCCTCTGCTTTGAAAAAAAAAAAAAAAGCTACTATAACTGTGTCTGGACAAGAGAAATCTTGTGTGTTGCACTGCTAACTTTCTGTTGTATGCTCTGGTGTAATGTCTGTGTCTGGGTATAACTACCTGTACCAAATATGCACATCTATAATATGTTTTGGCAACTTTTAACTGCATATGGTTAGTATATACTGTGTTTTAGTAAGCATGCAGTGATATAAGGCATGTGTTGTGAGATGAATGCATAGATATATGGTTGATGGGAAGGAATGAAGGAGTTTTTTCCAACAAAGCATTCTCATTACAGATGGACACAGCACACCTCATTACTGCATTTGGCACTGCTGACACAGTCCAATTCTTTAAAGGCCAAAGGTTTTCCAAATCTCTTTTCTTGATGAGGTACAGAGGCACATCTGACTCAACTGACCCCAAAATATTCTTCACTTATGACATGGGGCTGTACAATGTAAATATTGGACAAGAGTTTTGTCTTGCCTGTTAAAAAAATTCTCCTCTCTCTGCTTTCTTTGCAGAATTGATTATGTCCATGCTGGAGGTTTGGCTTGCACAGGTTGAAAAACAGGCATGGCTAATCTTGGAAGCATGCAAATAGAGCAGGCAAGAGGAGGAATTAAGTGTGAAGGGATGGGCTTGTTGTGTGGAGGATAAAGGGCTTCTTTGTTAAGAAAATACTGCAGGCTACAGCCTGTTCCTTTGATTAGAATATAGGGAGCAAAATACAGGTCTTGGTGCTATTGAATTGTGGTACAATTATCAACTCAGGCATGCATGTATGCAGCTCTAGTTTCTCTTCCACATATAAAGTTTCTCACCCATATAAAAATATCTGTAATATACTGAATATATTTAATGATACCTATCTTAGTATCATGGCAATAACATGATATTACAGAGAACAGAAATCCTGGGAGTACATCAGGAACAAAACTTAGTCAGGTCCTAGACTTTACTGTTGAGCAGTGCCCACTTGGAGATGTGTATAGTTGAACTAAGGTCCTGGAGCAGAAGAACAGTGTGGAGCTCTATTTGCATAGAACACGTCTGGCTTTAAGGCTTCAGGACTTTCTCTCATGTGGAAGACAGAACCTCTTATGATTGAAGATGAAAGTATTGGTGCTCTCTAGGTCCCAAACTGTACCACATCCTTGGTAGGCAGAGAGAGAATACTGGCTGTGGCATCAGTGGTGGCCCTTGAACACAGACAGCTGAATGAGTAGCCAGGGCAATTTATGGTGTGCCTAATTCTGGAGACTCAGTAACCCTTCATCAGCCAGTACTCTGTCCCTGGTCAGCTCTGAGGAACAATCTACCATCTGTGATATGTTACAGAAAGACAGAGTATCTCAGAAAAAGGGAGGTACACATTTGTGCTCTGCTTGTGACTCCAGAGAACGGGCAGTCAAAAAAATTTGATGGAACGTGATGAAGGTTTCCTACACTCAGTTCATGTTATAATAGGCAAATTAGTAATGCAACTCCCTTTTGGAAAAATACAGAAGAAACTTAAGTAGAAAAGAATTTAAGATCTGGCAAAGCTGACAAACGTATTTTCCTTTCACCAGAATACAGCTTCATCTTCTTGACCTTTAGTCTTTTCTTTAATTGCTACCAAAAACCCATCAGTCTCTTGCTAAATGCATCATCCTACCTTTCCCTCCTGAACTGGAGGACATGAGTCTTGTTCTGGGTTCCATTCTCCTTGGACTTACCTTTGGCTTCTCCACTCTCACGTGTACATTATTGGATTGCTAGGGGAACCTTTTTGTGACTTGTGTATCTCTGTTTTTTTTTCCAGTTTGCTGTTCCAGCTGAAGAAACGAAGTATGCCTGTACCTTTATCCCACTGCCCATGGTCAAACAGAAACACCACATCTACAAGGTACATTCCTAGGCAGTCTTACTGGGGAAAATAGGACAGGGCAGATATGCCACTTGAATTCTGCTTGCAAGTCTGTCTTTTACAGCATTTTCAAACTGTACATTTGGGAGCATTCCCTATGTCTTTCACTGCTATTGGGATGAGTCAGTTAATTTGTCCACCTTGTGTGGAGACACACTCTCTGTCTTGTTTCTGGCTTTGGAAGCATTGTTGTCTATATGTACATCACACCTGAAGGAACCTTTCTACAAGTCTGACAACTCAGTGTAGTGACCTCAGGCCATGTTACCTATAGGTATCAATGAGAACAAAGGTAGCCTCCAGAGTTTTCTGTATGTGAAAAGAATGCAAGGACTGTTACTATTGTTCTTGAAAATTGCTAGCAAAAGGCAAAACTAACAATTTTTGCAGTCCAGTTTTCAACATAAAATATGCAAAATCAAGGAACAAATAAAAGAAACAGGATTTTTCCATGGTAAGCCTTGTTTCTTAAGATAAATTTGCTCCAAGGTCAAGTAACTCTTCTTAGTTTTGCAGTCTTTGAAGGTTTAAAAATAGATGTTCCACTGAAGTGATATAGGACAGAATTTCAGAAGAAAGGATTTACATGGACTGAAAAAGTAAGGATTTGAAAGTCAGTCCTATAGAATAAACTGAGGAGTTTTATTCAGCTCTGGTGGTAAACATCAGGACTTTGGGATCTGATCTCACCAGTGCTGGTGAAAAGTCCAATGATTAATGAACAGATACAGGTTATTTACAGGCTTATTTTTAACTATCTTGATAATAGTTGTTTTGGCAAAACTGAGGGAGCAGTGAATTATAGTGGACTTGAGATCAAGGTCCCTGAAGCTGCTTTGCAGCCAAGAAAATACTGTATGAGGTAAATTAATTACATTCCTAGTCTGGAATCGCACTGCCCAGCATAAAAGGTCAAATAGACATCCCTGTTATTCTGATTAAGGGAAGGTGTTTTAGGGGAAGATGCAAATCTGTCAGCCTCCCCTCCATCCCGGGCAAGGTGATGGAACAGCTCCTCCTGGAGGTCCTCACTAAGCATGTGGAGGACAAGAAGGTGATCAGGAGTAGTCAGCATGGATTCACCAGAGGGAAATCATGCTGGACCAATCGGATAGCCTTCTATGATGGGATGACTGGCTGGGTAGATGAGGGCAGAGCAGTGGATGTTGTCTCCCTGGACTTGAGCAAGGCTTTGGACACTGTCTCCCATCACATCCTCCTAGGTAAGCTCAGGAAGTGTGGGCTAGATGAGTGGACAGCGAGGTGGAT